ATAATGATTAGTATGCGTCAGTTTGTCCCGTGCGCAGCATTTAATTACAGACTGTTTATTGATTAGATCAAACAATAAAGAGTGCAAAACAAGCAATAGATATGTCCAGAAATTGTAACAACGACAATTCCATTCCCTTTGACGTGATATAAAACTTACTGTATTATGTTTTGTACGTATATTCAGCCAAATTAACTAATTGCCTTTTCTTAGGTATGTAGAAGCTTAAGAACAGTTAAGACATGCTGTTTGTTTCATTTAAATCAATTGAGATTATATGTTTTCCTACTGTACTAAAAGATGAATATTGCTAACATGCAATTAATATTTTTGTTAAAAAATGGATCATTGGATAATGCAATTCGAGAGTTTTCAGTTAGCCATCATGGGTCATTAGCCATTATACAATGCTGTACAAATATGGTAAGCTTACGCGTGATTTTTTGGGGCGCTTTTAGTTTTGTTTTAGTTTAGTTTTCTTTATTTTGGGGGCGTTTTTAATAAAACAATTATTCTACTCGCGCTTGTTGGATATGTGATGACTATAGCCAACTCATATCCAACGTGGAATAATTGTTAGCTAATTGTTAAATAATCTGTGGTTTCTAGTCAGTACAATTATTTACGCACGAATAACTATGTTTGTGGTCAAGGAGTTTATTGACATCGTTTTTTATCCATCTAAATTCCACGGACTTAAATTAACTGACTTGCTAAACAGAAAGATTTGCCATCTAGGCAAATATCTCTCACCATGTCTTGCTGTAAATTTCAAGAGCAGACATGTCTTACAACAACTAAAATAAAAATAAAGCAACAATCATTCCACCCTCATTTTTTTATTACAACGATCGTATACTTCTCTCCAAGAGCAAATCAAGCAAATCTAGGTCGAACAGGACACTTCAATAATTTTTTTTTGTCACTGTGTAATCTGTGTTGTTCGATATTGTTTAATCACTGATGTTTTGAATTAACGACTCGTAATTAAATAAAGTTAACACATTTAGCGTGTCTACGTGAGCAAACAAACACCTGCTTGCTTAGGGGATTGTACAGTTGATCTTTGAATTACTATGTCTATGGAACTGACCTTTTTCAACCACGATATTTGCCGATTCAGTGACAATACGAAACTAGTCATCGTCAGATTGTGTTTTTGTCGACGTTATGTTAATATTGTGGTAAATCAGAAATGTCCGCTAATAAAACTTCTTATAAAAACCAAGGGTAACAAGAGAATTACTGAAAAGAAGATGCAACGACTTGCACCAAGAGATTCTGCAGGGCCATACTTTAGCTATCGTAACTCTACCGTTATGTGGCTCAGCACACTGATTGTTTTGGACTTACCAATCAATAGTGCATATCAACGAAACTATGCTGGCAATAAATAGAAGCAAAATAATTCAGAAATCTTACCATTTGACAGGCAATGTCCCGGGCTAAGGGCAAAAATGAAGATTGCTGTTAAAATAAGCATCTTCCAAAGCGAACCTCGGTCAGAGTCCGTTATTAATGAAGTCATTAACAGCACATGCATGGTATTTAGCGGAGGTGAAAGTCACTCATGCACGGGAAGCACGTTTGCTATGTATTGCGTCACGAATTCTCCTGTATTGATACACGAAAGAACATCGCAGTTGTGAAACGTTTTCCGACATGAACGGGATTCGAAACCACGACTGCTGTGATAGCAAGAGACAGGGGTTTGCTAGAAAGTAATAATAATTATATTTTCCACAATTGCCACGAAATTAAATACGGCGACATCCCTCGTATAAGAAAACAATATTTTTTAAAAAAGACGATTCTTTCACGTGTAAAGCAAAAATATTCACTGCCTGCATAATAACAAAAACATACAGAAAATTAGCTTTGTTGTAAAACTAAAGATAAACGAATCTTCAAAAAGAAGTATTAATAATATACAAAACGCTTATTGGCTAAACACATGTATAGCTTTTGATCATGAACTGCAGGTCTGCAACTGACCCATTACCTCTCTGGCCCTGTCTGGACACGCGGCGAATGACTGTAGAATGTGCGACTGTGTCCGATCAATCCAGTTCTACTTTTGCCTCTAAACCTCATCTTGGAGAAGTTAAGGGACAGCCATACCAAGAAATTTAAGAATTATGAGCAAAATAATCCGTCCGACTGGTGTTGATTTTAAACTACAAGGATTTCGTTGGACCAACATGCGGAGGGAGATGTTTCTCTACGAAATAAATTAGTCCCAGTAATAGAGCGCTGACTAAAGGTACTTTTTATTGAGCATGCAGTAGATAAACTTGAGGCTGAAGAAAAGTACTTTATGACGCCAAGTGCCGCTATCATTTCTTACCGTACCCAATTTTGCAATGAAGCCCGGCAATTAGAAGCCGTGTCTACTGTTCTGATATCCTACGATATCAAGTCACTGACGTGATAGGGCTACGATATCATGCTCACTTGAACGAATTTGGGTGGGAATACATACCTAATCGAACCATTTTGGGTAGGCTACGTTGACATATCAGTTTGGGTTGCGCTCGCCATGAGTATTTCGCTCGACTACCTCTCGCCATACCTTGTTATGTCGGTACTAATAACATTGTGGCTTCGACTCCTATAGGAGTTAGTAGCCACAAAAATACACTGTTTCCCAATCCAATATAAAAGGAACTGTATCACTCGCGCTTTTAACGGTGCTTTTAAAACTGAATTCATCACGGTTCAAAAATATTAACAGCCGTAAACAGCCCCCAAATATCCTGACGCAAAAACCCTAGTTTAGGTGGATTGGAACTTCTTACGCAAATACCAAAAGTGGCCCTGCGGTATAAATATAGATCATGCATTTACTAATCCCCCTCCTGTCAAAAATAATTAAATGTTAGATTAGTAAAATCGTGTTGATATTATTCGCCTTCACCTCCCTAAGAAACGCATTCAGCCTTATAAGTACTTACCGAGGGATGCATAACTTAAATGTATATGAACAGTAACTTACCACATAACGGAAAATTCGGAAATACTACGTCATGAAGAATAATGAAAAGGCAAGGTGTTTTGTTCTCTTGGCACAATTCACAGGTCGCAATAATACAGAGGAGGAAACGTTTGCAAAACGCTTACAAATTTCTTCGTTTAAGCAAGAACTGGAAGGACTTGATCGAAAACATTCAATACGACACAGCAATCACGTGGTAATGAAATTGTTTCACATTCTTGAAGTACAAGAGGTTGGGAGCACGGAGGAATATCATCTGAATGGATTTCTTGTCAAGGTTCATGTAGTAGAGGATACGGATCTTTGATGGATTCAATGACTTGTTCAACCCTATTCTAACAGCGTGATCTGATTTATCTGAAAAGAAGATGATTCTCAGTGCCGTGACCTTATATATATAGACTAAAACAGCCAATTCATTTTGAACATACCAGTTTGTGACAAAATTATATCAGGTTGATCGGATATACAGACGAAAGAAGAAGATAACATATACTATATATATTTATTTTAACATTTGTGTGTTATCCGGTCGTGATGGCCTTGACCTGACATTAATAATTTGACGTAACTGATCAAAATTCATTTAACTCTTGTTAGCCTGTTTAATTGAGAGTTGAGATATCTTGGCTGATAACATAACGACTTATATCCATCAAACAGAATTCACTGTTGGACTTATCTCCAGCAGTGCAGCTGGCAGTAGTACTAATAAGCTCGATCCGAGAGAGTACTAAATATTAAAGATAGCAGCTTGCACATAATAGCCAAGGTAGTGACCCTTCATGTAAATTCAAGTTGGTCCGTTTGAGTTTCGATGTTACGGATGTGTTTACCAAAACATCTTCAATCTTTTTTCTGAAAACAGCTCAAAAAAATTCAAAAGTTCAAATCTGTTTCTTTCTCTTTGGCGTTGATTAGAATGAGGCTTGATAGAAACGTCAATTTATTCCAAACAGAGACATGCTTGCGGCAACATTGAACAAAGTGAAGATAATCACAATGAACTTTTTATAAGTGGCCACTTTCTAGTCGAACTCGTACTCAGTCTTACCATAGCCTTTTCCAAAACAAAGCCAAAGAAGTGTTTTTGGCGGCCGCTTAAGAGAGGTCCGACTGTATATAACAAAATAAGATATATACCGCTTAACAAACTTGAAGTAAAAAACCTAAAAACACAACGAAAAGAAAAGGCCGGCACGAAAGTAGCCAGTGAACAAAGTTGCTCTGAGTTACTCTAAATCACACCTAGTCACTCTCAACTGACTAGTTTACTCCGAGTTACTCCTTGTTTATACTCCACGTTACTCCTGAACTTGTTCCAGTTTTACTCTAGAACCTCCACGAAGTTTTCCCCCAGTTACTCTAGAAGACTTAGAGAGTGCTTTGCATTCAAAGAAAAATCCGGTTGGAATTTCCGGAAATTTCCAGAGACGAATAAAACAACATTTTCTGGAATTTCAGGAAAAGATGACAATCTTGCGAAATATATCGAAATTTTCGTCGACCAGCCGTTTGCCGTTTGCCGTAAACGTCATGCTTAACCTCTCTAGTGATATATTGATTTGGAATTTAGAAAAACATGTACTTATGGCTCTGTCAAATTTAGGTTACTTGTAGATCGCTTTCTTTTTTCACTCGAGTGTCGATAGATGGAATTCCCAATGGCTTTGGTTTTGTGCGCGCCTTACTAAGCTTTGTGATTGGCTTAAAATGATCGACGCGCCACTTTGTCATCCAAACAGAAGTGAAACCAAAACCAATCGTGACTCTCTCGCACTCGTTTTCCCGCGCTTTGCGTCGGCTACATGTATTTGGAAGGAATTTTGATTGATTCACTGGATCGTCTGTGCCTTTTGTGATTGGTTTAATGGCACTCAATTAAAAACCGCTTTGTGCATTAGCAGGCAAAGAACGAAATTGTACCCTTTGTTGCTTCAATTGCTGAATAAACCTTGGAGTGCTTGGAAGACTGTTTTAAATAATACAAGTGCACTTGGTTCTCACGGAAAATGTTGTTTTTTGTATTTCCACATGGTCAGCGGGGACAACAAGTAATGCATTGTATCGCCTTGTATGGAGAGAGCCATCAGACCAAAAGACATCACTGATAACAATGATAGAAATTTCAGACTTTTCTTTTGGAAGAAGGTCCATGACAGTGACACAAACTGTTAACTGGGATTGGGATCGATGTAGGCTGAATAAATAAAGGTAATATCCCTTTCCAAGCTTTTTTACCTTAAGCATTTATAGACGTTAAGGATAGGTCTCTAATTAGAGGAGATTGTTAGTTCTATTGTTAAATGAATTGACAAGCGATTAGTCCAGAAAGAAATTATAATGAACTCTTTATTAAGCAGACCCCCTGCATTTCGTTTAAGTTTTCTCTTGTTAAAAAGTTTTAAGTCTCGAGTTGACGTTGTTCTTGGTATTCTTGTTATGACACTGATATCCCTGCACTGATAACGCGCTTCGCACTTATGAAGTAAAATTTTTCCCTCGCGCTTCCGAAGGCCTGGTAACTGGTGGCCAGTCACCAGACCGTTGTCAAACATGGCGGATAAACTGTACGATGTCTGTCCCGAGAAGTTACTGTCTCAAAGAGTAGAGAAAGCAACTGAACTCTTGAATAGATGCGATAACTTGAGGAAAACAATAGAAGGTTTGCCCAAGCTTAGGAGGAAGTTATCCGCAGAGTTGAAATTCCTTACATCCGTGAGTTTATTGTGTACTATCACAAGCTTACCTGAAAAGATCAATCTAGAATGGCTGACAGTAACTGTAACAACCAAACTGTTCTTCTCATTTTCCCTTTTAAACGAACAAGTGCACACCGATATAAAGCGGACACTTACCAGGGTCCTGAGGGTGTCTGTTTGATACATATTAGGTTATCGACCAAGGGTGAGGTCAAGATGGCTGGATATCATGATTGCCCGTCGGTTCCTTGCGTGGTTATGGACCAAGGCAGAGTAGACGTCCATAAGTAGGCAAAAAAGGAACAAGGGCAATATCCAGCCATCTTGACCAAACAAGCTTGTTCAACAAAGAATTCATGGCTTTGGAGAAATTCTTCTCGAGGGTCATAGTGTGTAGCACTGAGTGTGCAAGATAGTGCCAATCAAAGCACAGGATTTGGTTCATCTCGCTCACCCACGGAGCTAGCCATGAAGGTTGTGATGTGTTCCCAGATGTTCCTAGACTGGCTCAGTAAAAAGACAGCAGGTACAAGCCTGGTTCCGGATTACATTAGTTTCATTACTGACATAGTATCTTAACATTTTCTCGTTTGGAGTGGTTTTATTAATAGGTGAAATACATGTAGATTCCAGAGTAGTACATGTACATCCTATTCTAACAGTACCAGTCATTTAACACTGCTGCATACCTGCATTACCCTCTCCCCCACTAATGCTTGGTAGGGGGGTGTCGGGGGTTTCAAATGACTGGTGGATTTCCCTCTTGGTTTCCTTTGTTTGTTATATCTAAATTATACATGTAAGTGTTTCAAAAAGTACTAGAAACTGCATGTACATTGTATCCCAGAACATTTATAAAGATTAACTATTATAAATGAACTCTTCACTGTTGTTTGTTTTTCAGTTAAAAAGCTCTGAGCAGACTTTAAAGCACTCTCACATTAACAGCACAAACCTTTCATTTCTTGAAGCTGTGTTACTGACTGTGGAAAATGAGGCTGATGTCACTGCTGTGTTCAAACCATTTTTTTCCTTGGGACACAACTCAGCAGAGTTTAACTGCATTGTAGATATTGTTGCCAATCATGGCCTCTGTTGGATTAAGGTCACTGCACGAAATGCATCTGCACTGCACAGGATATGGCAAGGTATGTGGTCTATACATGTACATGCTGTACTGTACCCAAACAATAAAGTCATGTAGTTTATAGTGCAGAGTGCACTATTGGGATGGTTTAGGGGCTGCTGTTTGCTAATGCATTAATGCAATAACACCATAACGCCACGAGGTGTAAACTTTCATGTTTGTTTAATTACCCAATTTCAATTAATCAGTTAGCCTTGTGGGAAGGGGGGCTGGGTGGGGTAGGTACCTGAGTGCATTATGCAAAACGTGTCATACTTACGTTGCTTTCTTTGATAACATGACTAAAATATATATGTGGTTTTGGAAATCTCATACTATCCTTGTGGTGACATTCTCTCAAGAACAAAAGCAATTTGCTCCAAATGCATGTGCAGATTAGTTAGTGTCAAAGTCGACTATATATTAGATGTAAGATACATTTCATATGGGACTACCCATGAACGTTGGGTGCTTTCCCTTGTAGTAGAACATAACATGTAAGAGGCATGTGTTCTAGGGTTGCTCGTGTGATAAACTCCGTTCTCGAGTTCACATGCACAGTTTTTTTTTATTTATATGTTGTGTAATAGCACACTCTCATTTTGCCTGGGACAGCAGTTATATTTCGGGTAACACCAGTTCTCCCTTTCTCCCTTTTTAGTGGAAAGAACACTTCTATGACAGCATATCTTTTGGAATCATCCCTAGCTCAATTCAAGAAATGTCTCGTGTTGTTTTCAAACTATTGCATGTTTGCTAACTAAAGGTTAAAAGAGTGAAAACGGATTCCTCTCCTTTGCGGCTTGTTTATATGTCAAGTGATGTCAGGTAGCGCCACTTGTCCCTTTTAGTGCAAAAGTGAAATGTATCTTTTAGAATTAACCTCAGGCCACAGGTTGGTTCTGCAGGTCTGCAAATTGTAAATTTGTGACAAAAGAAACCAGGCTCAAATATTGCTGCAGACTCCATGGCACCTAACGGAAACGCAAATTAATTTTATCAGTCTTTGAGGAGACTCATTCACTGATGCAGAATAATATCAGCCAGGTAGCACTGTTTACCTTGAGTACTTCTCACGGAAACGCTTCTCAGTTGTATCAATCAATATTGTTGTGTATTAATTTTGAATTGTTTTATTGTTAACAACAAGGTAGCAGCAAAAACAGAAAGTGGTATTCCGTGACTATCTGATAATTAAATTAGTTCTTGTTCATTTATCCCCAAAAAACAAGCACATCTTCAGTGTGTTTTGGAGAAAACAAGGGTTTCATGTTACACACCTTTGGGAGGAAATCAAAAGTATCAAGTTACAAAGTTGGCGCGAAGAGCTTAATTGTCACGTTTGTTCAACGTATTATTGAATTTAAAATGAAGGAAAATCATTGTAAAACACCAGAGTAAAATTTAAAAGCTGACGTGACAAACAGTAATTGTACGTACATATGTAATTTTTGGATCTTGAATGAAGACACAACCTTGAAACATACACACTGCTAAGGGAAAAAACCCTAGCAGACTACCAAGGTAGATACTAACCGGAAGTGAACCGAGCAGGCATGAGTACTTATGGGACTACCATGCCAGAGCTATCAACTGCACTCTGCACTATCTGAGATTGTTTCACTAGTTTTAAATGGTATTTCACCTAATCTACTTTCTGACAGAAGTGAACCGAGCAGGCATGAGTACTTATGGGACTACCATGCCAGAGCTATCAACTGCACTCTGCACTATCTGAGATTGTTTCACTAGTTTTAAATGGTATTTCACCTAATCTGCTTTCTGACAGCACTTGTAAGGGATATTTATCCATTACGTTAAAGAAGCCAATCTTGAACAGAATATTTTGAAGATTTGGCATATTCCATGATTGGAATAGCAATTTCAATCCAACAGACAGTTTAAGGGGATCAGATATAGCCATAAGCATATGAACTAGGGGAGGGCAGCGGGGGCGGGGGGGGGAGAGAGATTATGTAATTCTTCGGGCCAAATGCTCATTATTTGGGCAATGACACTTGAGAGAAAATATTGCAAAATAATGCTGTTGGCGTGATTTCTAAATCTCCTAAATAAAGTTTCTAGTTCATTTTATGAATCACTGTGTAATTAGACGCCCAACCAGGAGTCTGTAGGCTGTCAAGTGGTTTCTTCAGAGAGTTGGCAGTTTAAGTAGTGTTGTGTAAAGTGTATCATTTGTATCTGCTGCTGATCTGAAGTATTTTTGGTACACTGAAGATGCCATAGTAGTCAGTGGCCACGCGGGCCTTTCAGGTTCCCGACAGAGAATGGGCCCTCTTTTTTGTTTTTTCGGTTTCAAGGCTTGTAAGGTACTGTCTGTGACATTTGCCTTGCCAAAAAGGACTTAAACTGAAATGATATGAGTGACTGGGGTTTTCTGTTAGCTACAAACAGAAAACAAACCGTTCACTCAAACGATAAAATGCTCTTTCTTTAGCCAAATAATTGTTTATCAAAGTTTCACTGGCACGTCGCTCATGTTTAGTTATTTTTTCTTGGAGGAAAAGTTCTGTGTTTCGGCATGCGTTGGCAAGTCGCTTGCGAGAATGTTTATTGTTTGAAGCGTTCCGAAAACCTTGTCGAGAAAATGATATCTCCGGTTATATCTGACAAACCGTTCATTCAAATGGTAAAATACTCTTTCCCCAACGAAAGAATTGTTTATTGAAGTTTGTATGGTGGGCCGCTCACATTTTGTTATTTTTAATTTTTTTCAAGGAAAAGTTGTGTGTTTCGGAACACGTTTCCAAGACGCCCGCTTGCTTGGACCGTGTTTACTTTGTGTCGAAATCTTTCAGTTGTGTTTGTTCCGTGAAGATGGGATTGTTGAAGCGTGTATCCCCGGTTCTATTTGACAAAAAAACTGGTAAATTTTTGATTTAACGGCAAAATACTCTCTCTTTTAATTATATTCAGTCAATTAATTTTCTGTCAAGTGCCCAATTGAAAAGTGTTAGTTTCAACTAACATTTCAGTTGCTAATAAGTCATTCTAGTCTGAAGGCATACGTGCGTATACTGTATACGCGTATTCAAAATATTTAGAAAACTCTTTCTCACTCTGTGGCAAGCTGTCAAGCCATTGAAAACAACAATGACCTGCTAAGAAAAGAAAAAACAATAGGTTAACTCATACACACTAATCAGGCATACGCGTATATACTGTATACGCGTATGTGCGTATATGTATACATGTATGTGCGTATATACATACGCGTATACGCGTATTGGGCTGATGCGAATTACGCGTATATTTTGGTTCGGATATATCTGAGCTGCACTGTACAACACAAATCAAAGCAAACAAAGACCAAGACTTTTGTTTTTGTGGTGTTTTAAATTTTTTCTTGAATTTTTCCTACAAGGTGTTCCTTTGTTACATCCATGTTGTTTACCATCATATTTACGTGGCTTTTGAATTCATAGAAGGCTTGTAGTGTATGCTGCAAGACTACTGTGGCCAAAACAAGACTATTTCAAAGGACACCTAGCAATGCCTCATGTTGTTTGGATGCCTCGAGTATATCGAGAAACTCCTCTCAATTAGAGTCCAGCTTCTGTAACATGTCCAAATGGTCCATCTTGAAACACAAACGTCTCTGTAACGAGCACCTCTATGGCAATAAAGTCATTGTGAACAGTGTGGACATTAGATAACATTTTCGGACAATGCCATGGAAGGAGGAACTTTTTCTTTTAATAAGGCTTAGATTTTACTTGATTGAGACTGTTGATAGAGGACATTGAATGTGCAAGCTTTCAATATAATTACTGTTTTTGGAATTAAAGCAGTTTCATTAGATGTGAGAATTGTGAATGTTTTTGCTTTTCATGCAATTTGAGTGCGTTTGCATTCTGATTTCAACACTCGTGCATTCGGGCATTACATAATCTTTTTGGGCAAGAAGCTCACCTCCCCTTATCTGAGTCAGGTCTGTAGGCACATATCTAAACTGTAGAATGGGTGCTACATGTATTACAATATTTCATGTATTTCATTTTTACGATAAAGTTGGTTATTAATAGCTTCTCAATCGACTCTGACACTATGCTAATTTAAGTCTGACACCCGAACATTTTCATGGTTATGATTTCTTTTGTTCAAACTTAATTAATCATTAGTGTAAAGATTTGTTTGTTTTTATCCATCTTGCAGGTCAGGGTAACTTCGGTGATAAACACATAGTCCATCAAGTGAAGGTACAAAAATAAGAATGTTCTGTACAATGTCTATAATTTGTTAATTTTGTTTCCTTTGGTAAAGAAGCAGTGAAATTATATTTTACATATTATTGATCAGGAATTGCTAGAAGCCAGTCAACAACACCCTGTGAACTATTCAATTCCATTAGTTGTGCTGTCTTGTTTTAATGGAATCACAGAATCTCTTGCAAGTGAGTACTGGCCTTATTCTACATGTATGTGTGGCTATTTAACACAGTAAGGTCCGTTTTTTTTCACAAGGTGCATGAGAGGTTTCATCGAGCACCAGGTACCAGGTAGATTGACTGGCTGTGAGGATGATTTTGCCCACCTGGTTTGACCATCTAGGGGAAAGTTTTTCTAAATATAAAGAAGTTCATTTCAAAAGATTTTGGTCACCTGTGAAAACTAGTTGCCCTGCTGCTGAAAAAATTAAATATGAAACCCCTGGTGCAGCATTACTTTCCAAAAAAATCATTTTTCACTGGTGAAGCACAACGTCACTTAGGATTTTTCTGAAGGTACTGTGTCTTTAAGCCGCTCTCTAGCTGAAAATTCCTCATTACAAAGTAAGCTCCAAATGACTTTTTAGAAAGCTCTGTATAAGTACAGGTATATAATTATGTAGGTCCAGGGAGTGTCTGAGTCATTAATTGTCTGCTATTGGCTGGAAAATAACTATCAATCAATCAACACTTTACTTAAGCACGTTGCACTTAAGAGAGAAATAAGCTTGATCAAAATATGGGTTGTACAAAACTTGTTCAAAAACAAGCATTTGTTTTGAATTACAAAGGGACTACATGTACTTTGAAATAATTATACCTGCAACTTAGATAAAAGATTGATCAAAGAAAAGTTGTAATTTAATGTTGGCGCTATGTGAGGAACCCTATTTGCCATAGCATTTGGAGCAGTGTTGTCAATCACAGTTTTTTTCATTTAACCAATCACAGGCTATAAAAGTGCAATCCGAATGCAACATTATTATTTATGTTTGTTGCCTCTCATAAGCAAAGCAGATACTTTGTAATTCTGTGGATGGCAGTGATCATCTTCATCTGGCCTTATCAATGCAGAACTCTTAAATTTGCATACTTGACCATGGCATACTTACAAATTATAATAATATTATTATTGTAAGAATAGAAAATTATTTTCTATTTTGTGCATATTACTGTACATGTACACTACAGTAGAATACGTTTGTCATTATAATCATACAAATGTTCGTACTTCTTTTTTAAAGAGACATTGGGAACCTCTGGTATCTGTGTTAAAGGCAAACTTCTACCAGATCCTGGAAGTGAGGCTTTGACCCATGTACATAGTCCAATCACACCTGACAGAACCACTGGTAATGTCCAAGAGTGGTAGGTCAATCAAGATATAGTTCAACACATTTATCTGACAAAATGTACTATATATAGGTTAATTCCAGAGGAATGACTGCATGCAGTCCTACACACTGGAGTCAGTATTAAATAATATTAAAATTATTGTATAATATAGTTACAGTATTGTATTTATAAATTAATGTATAACTGACATACAATTCTTGTATGAATAAATATGTAACCTTTCTTTTGGTTGGTATTCAGTAAGATATCCACCATAAATTGGGGAAGCTATATGTACCATAATTCTCAGAGTCACCACACCTACATGTAAAATCAAAGGCCCTTTGCGCTGCCTCGAGTCAATAATGTTTTAGAGTTCCACTGCCACATGTACCTGTGAAGAATTGGACTCTAGAAATTCACTGCCAAACCAAACATGGTAATGCAAGTGTAATGCAAGATAAAGTAAACGGGAGTGCATTTTCACTTCTGGTATTCAAATATGAATACAATTCAATCTTACTCTATCTGGCCTGATCTGACCCATAATTTTCCTGATTTACACCTGTTTGTATGCCACTACCATAAAAATTGTCTGGAATCAGAATAGCATGACTAAAACTTGTCTTTCTAAATCAATAGCCCAAACCTTCATCACTTCAATGTTTTAAGCCTGTCATTTGTTGTCAAAATGGGTTAAATCGCAAGCAAGTCAAGTGTGAACCACGGGACGTGTTTAGACAGGATCAAAATGCAAAGATTCCTTACCTAGGAATCTTACATTAGGCATGCAAAGAATCCTTATACAGGAATATTAGATATTAGGAATGTAAAGAATCCATCTTACCCAAGAATTCAAAGTCACCCTATATCCTCAAGGCAAAAGCTATGTACTTTGGACCAAGTCTTGATCATAACATGAAATAGAATATTGAACTCTTATCTAAAAAAAAATCAAAGTTTGAGAAGAAATACATGTATGAAATCAAATCTCCATTAATTCATTTTGTTGCATGCATTTCAAGCGCAATTGTTTTGATAGAGAAGGAGCAGCAATTAATGTGTACATGTATGTTACATCTAATAGTAGTCAGGTAGGTATGTGTAGTTGACATGTTACGGTGTATAATGATCAAAGGTACATGTTATAATTTTTACCTAAAGAAAGGTAACTTATCATTATAATTTTGCTCTTTGTTCAGCAAATGCATTAATCTTGATATCACCACCATGGTTGCTTATGTATCTGCTCTGACCAATGGCGGCTGTGGCTTTATATTCAAGGTACGTGTAATCAGACTTAATTGTTAGTGACAAAATTAATAACACTTTCGTGACGATCTAAATACCAAAACAAAAGTGTAAAACAACCTCTTTTCAAATTCCTAGGAAGCTGTTTTAACTAAACAAGCAAAACAGGAGCGACTTAATCCAGTACTTCCCATGTTAGAAACATTTTTTAAAGGTTAGTCCTGCAGCAATAATACAGTCATATAATTTTCAAATTTTGTTTCTACAAAGAATTTTAAAATTATTTGCCTCAAACTCAACATCTATCACTTGGGGTGTTGTTAGGCAACCTACGTGTCAGGATACTGTTCCCTACTGTACATATTAAGGTATATCTAATTTTATAACATAGCGCGCGCGCTATTCCTACCTAATTCCTATTGAGCCATCATGAACGAAATCTCTAACAAATAGATTCCATGTTGCTGTGCGTCTGTTCAGTAATAGATCACAGATGACGTAAAAATGTGGTAAGAACAAAAAAGTGGCACACGAGGCGATAGCCGAGTGTGTCACTGATAGTTCGTATAGTGTGATCGTCCGGGTGAGTGTAGTTCTGAAAAGAACTGTTGTTGGTGACAGACGTTTCGACAACCTGAGCGGAAGTCATCTTCAGAGTCAAGTGAATAGTGTTTTTTTCATTTCAAAATCTCTCAACAAATTTCCGTCGAGTTTAGTGCAAGTTCCTTTTGTTTAAGCTTCGGCAATGTGAAGATTATTCTGATCAAACCAAACCCTACTTCGAGCCTTTGACTTTTGCCAAGCTAAGATGTTTACTTAAACTTGGGTATTTTGACTTTGTTTGTCTACATTTTCATTGAGTATTTTTGACTTTGCTTGCCTACATTTTCATTATAATTAATTCGTAGAAGCAAATTTTTCATTGACAATTTTAGAAATCAGATTAAGCTTTTTCCTTCAAATGTTGTTCAACTGATTGTGGCTTGTTAGTATCCTAATGAACTTTGTTTTTTTTCACTGAGCATTGTGAGAACTTTGTAATCAATCACAAAAAAAAGATGTTTTAGCGCCCGGCGTCGACAAAACCAGGATCACGGATCACGGATCGGAACACGGACCGGATCACTGACCGGATCACGGATCGGATCACGGATCGGATCACAGAAAAAAAAACAAAGTTTTAAAGAAAAAAAAATCCCAAAGAAAATCAAATCGTTTATAAGATAATAATAAATAAAAAATAAAAGTGGAAGACTAAAATATATTAAATGAAAATAAGAATCCCGAATTTGACACAATGACATGTTAATTACAGAGAATGACAAGAGGTCATTTAAAAAGCCACATAAGCGCCTAATTTACG